CCCCAAAACCCCAAAACCCCAAAACCCCTAATGGGCCGTATAAAATTGAAGTCAATAGTAACCATATATAATAAAATGAAAAGCCTTCTTTTCTTAATTGCCTTGTTGTGCATTGCTTCTGTTGTAGAGTCTCATGTAGACACTTTCAGAGGTGGAAGAGGTAAAGACGCCTGGAAACAGAGAACTATCTACCAAGTCCTCACTGATAGATATGCCAAACATGACGGAAGCAAGGGTTCTTGCAACAATCTCAGCAAATATTGCGGAGGTACTTACAAGGGTCTTATCAAAGAACTTGACTACATCCAAGGAATGGGATTCGATGCTATCTGGGTTTCTCCAATCTTGAAGAATCTTGATGGAGGCTACCATGGATATTGGGCAACCGACTTATATAGTCTCAATGAGAACTTCGGAACTGAACAGGACTTTAAAGATCTTATTGAAGAGCTCCATAAAAGAGATATGTGGATCATGGTCGATGTAGTTGCTAATCATGTCGGCCCAGTCGGAATGGACTTTAGCGGCATTAATCCCTTTAACCAGCCAGAGCACTATCATGAAAGATGCATCATTAGTGATGATGATTTTGCTAATAACCAAGAAAGAGTTGAGAACTGTAGACTTGCCGACTTGCCAGATCTTGCACAAGAGAACGACTTTGTTAGAACCACTCTCCTCTCTTGGATCAAAGACCTTGTCCAAAAGTACAATATTGATGGGCTAAGAATCGATACCATTCCAGAAGTTCCCAAATGGTTCTGGACCCAATTCCAAGAAGCTGCTGGAGTTTATGCCGTAGGAGAAGTCTTTGACATGAGACTTGGATACGTCGCTGATTATCAGAACTATGTTGATGCTGTACTTAACTATCCACTCAGAAATGCTATCAATGACGTCTGGAGATATAACAGCAAAAACTTCCGTGACCTGGCAAATTCTATGAATGCTAATAGGAATGCGTTCAAAGACGTTGATGCTCTTGGTGTTTTTGTCGATAATCACGATAACGAAAGATTCTTGCATGGAAATTCTAACCACGCCGGATTGGAAGCTGCCACTATTTTCGGAATCTTTGCCGAAGGTATCCCAATGGTATACTACGGAACTGAGCAATACTACGGAGGTGGACCTGATCCTGCTAATAGAGAACAACTTTGGACAAACTTTGACACCTCTTCAAATCTTTATCAAATGCTCAAGGCTGCTATTCAGACAAGAAAAGACCATAAGACCTGGGATAACAAATACGTTGAAAGATACGTAGATGATAACTTCTTGGCATTCTCTAGAGGTGAAGTTCTTATTGCTGTTACTAATCAAGGTGGAAGCGTAGGAAATTACGTTACTTATCTTCCTTTCAGCAAGGGAGATACCATCTGCAACATCTTCAACTCCTCTGACTGTTTGACTGTCGAAGATGGAGTTAACATCACTCTCGACAACTATCAAACAAAGGTGTACGTCAAGAGTTCAAACAATGCTCAAGAATCTATCAAAGAATAAATGTAATTGGTCGCCTTTCATTCCGAATACTAGTAAATGGGGTTTTGGGGTTTTGGGGTTTTGGGGTTTTGGGGTTTTGGGG